ACAGCAAAGTGAAAGATTTAGTAAAGAAAGAGTAATGTTGGTAATTAACATGTTCAAAAACATGACAGCATTAATATTGGTGCTTGATAAAACATCCATAAATTGGTAAATATTTTATCATGCTGATATAAAACAAAGGAGGCAGAAAAGTCAGTGTTAAACAAACAGCATGCATAAACAACAGCTTTTGGAAAATATATTGAAAATGCACAATAAGTGAAATAGGAACAAATGAAACAAACAGATCGCTAGCTGTGTCATGCACTGCCCCCTCACTTGGTAGCAACAGTGACATAAAATCAAGGTTCCCAAATATTACAGTCCATAACAATTACACATTGTTAATAATAAACAACAATAAAAACAACCTCACACTATCCAAGAGAGCAGCACTGGTCATGTTGACGATTACTCTTTTGGGTTTTATTTGGGGGAATATAATGAATTTCCATATTTCTTGAGTGTTTTCAGTATTAGTGTGTGACTTCTGTATTAAAAGATTATGTTTTGCGATTTTGTTTGAGCATTCCAGATTGATCCGGTTGTCATTTTGTCACTTTAAGGTTTATGTAAGCTTTATCCATAACCCAATGTCTGATTTACACAAACAGAATATGTAATTGACATTTCTACACTGTGTTGTTGAGAAGTTTTCAGATTGAACCTGTTTAATAAATGAGAAATATCACATACAACAGTCTCGAGGGCATCATTCTAGGATGGACATTTTAGACCGCGTAGCAATCTCCATGATTAGTTTTCCGATCAGGGCTGGCTGTTAAAATGCAATACTAATATCATCACATCATGGATCATTTCCATACGCCACCATCTACAACCCTCCCTGACACCTACTTGATGGCTTTATTTTCCCCTCGACCTCGCACAGACTCTGGAGAGCTTGCAGCCTCCACCCAGGGCTTATTCCTCTTCCCCTGCAATGAGACAAGAGGGAGACAGACAGTGATGGAAGGCGAGAAGGATCTTAAATTCGTGTCTTGATCTCTGTTTACGAAAAGCAGTTTTGCAACTGAAGTGCTCATTACAGAGGCTTTAGAACTGCGTCAGGTTTCCAAAACGTGTTGTAAAATATGATGAATGAGGGAAGAGCAACAAATTGGTTTGATGCCAGGACGGCAGCCGGCTTGGAGACGTGACGAGGGACCACTTAACCGCAATGAGATGCAAAAACACACTCTCCCATGCATGACACAGGCACAAACATATCTCTGCACACAAACAGGTGGACCCCATTCACAAACACAATGCACAGGAAGCTTTACATCAGATTCCACACAGAACTTGTAAATTTGAAATGCAAGAATTCAAAACGAGTAAACCTGAACATTTATGAAAACCTAAGGTGCTGCACATCATGGTTTATTACACCTGCACAGACTGTATTTACAGCTGTGTGTTAAAGGTTTATGGCACGGTTACAGAGTGTGTACAAATAACCACTGTGTTGAGGAATATGCTGAAGCTGAGGTACTGGTGTGAACAAATCTATCCAGTTTAAGGTGACGGAAACACTGACACCTCAGATTTGGTAAAAATCAAACAAAAAAGTTCCCATTTGAGAGACACAGGATCATCTGAAGGGTGAGAAAATTCTCGATCGGCAGGAAAAATGCATGAATGCTGTTGTAATACAGAGTACAGCTGATTTTTCTTATTTTTACTACCTACTTTTATTGAACCCTATTGAATTCTTGAAGGTGATAACTCCATGCTTTTTCCAGTTGAGTCACATGGACTCTTCACTCTTATGTAATGTTTTTCCATTCCATCCTCACAACAAGGAGATGAAGAGCACAGGAGTCGTAAAATTCACACTTAACAGACGAGGTCTCTTTATTTTCTATTCTGCAGTGAAAGAAAATCAGATGTAAAATGTCGCAGAAAAAAGTAGTTTTTCCATCACACAGAAGAGTCCTGTTCCTCAACTGCCTGAAATGCCTTGTTTGCATTCCTGTTTCTTTTCCCTTAAAGCGTCTTCATACATAGTTTTCACTACATTTAAAGAGGTTATACAATTACAGTTTTACATTACAAATATGAAAGAAAACATAAAAGTTCATATACTTCATTAAAATAAGTCTTGTTTGCAAACGTAGTTCAGGTGTATTGCCTTCTTTATCGTGACTTATCCAACCCGGAATTCAATGGGAACCGACCGACTGTATTATAAAGCACCTTTCATACACAGAGGTAGATTCACGCTGCTGAACAGGGACGTTGAAAAACAACAAAGAGATGAAATTAAAAGAAAAGAAAAAATATCTCTGGGGTCTCACAGGGTTAAGTTGGACTAACATGTTTATTTTGGGCTTGACTCAGAGATTTAAAATGAGCAGTCCTGTGGCAGCAAGTGCAGAGCTTTAAAAACAGTGATGTTGTGGGTGGTCTTTTTAGATTTGTTTATAACTCTTGCAGCTGAATTTTGGATGTATTGTAAGTGCCTGCTTGTCTTAATTATTGATTTTCATGTTTTCTTTTCTTCTGAATTTCATAGTAGAGCTGTGCACAGCTGATTAAGTGGTGTTGTAAAGTGCCTGCTCCTGACCTGAGGACTTGGTTGTCCTGTCCCATGCATTCATGGAGCAGTTGTGTATTTTCCCCAGTGTGGACGGGTAGACAGGTTTGCTGATACTGCACTGTTGATACTAACATCCATGTTTTTCTGAGTGTTACACTGACAAGCTACTTCAAACCTGTGCTGGAGAAGAGCAGCGACTCTACCCACCCACCAAGATATTTGTTTTTAGAAAAACATTGCATTAAAGATGTTTGTGCTGAGCTGGACAAAAGAGATGTGACATGATGAATAACAAATATAGATGCATTAGTTTACATGCTAGTTTACTACTACGGTAGGTTGCTTTAGGTTTCTATAACTTCTCCAGTTTTCTGCATTTCGTGCTCGTTTAAAATGTTAATCGTTAAAGCTTATGTTTATTTTTACATGAGAGATGGGGTTTTTTTCAGACTAGAGGATGGCTTCTTGGTTGAGAGATGTAGTTGAATTTTACAGTCAATGATAAATGTGTTATTTGAACTGAGTAAATGATTTGAAGCAGCCTCCAGCCTGGAGCTAAATGTTTATCTGAATACAGCTTTTAGTGTCCTGCAGACAGGTGACCTCTTTATGCATCCCGCTGTATTTCTAATGCATCCACAATACACTCTGTTATTTATCGAGCCGCATCTCATATGTCCAACTCGGCACAAACATTTTCAATACAGAGCAAAGCTGGAGGCTTGCCGTGATCTTACATTACGCCACTACGCCGTAGACACACACGCAAACTGTGCAGTGCAAACACACAGAGGACAGAATAATATTAGATTCTGTGGATCAGAGAAGGATGCATTTCTAGCAGTAGAGAATATGCTATCAAGTGCAGCTCATCTATCATTAAACAGAATGATAAAATCTTCAGGAGGCTGGTGAGGAGATGGTGGAGAAGGTGCAATGTTGAGAGAGTGTTGGAGGATGCGAGAAAACGAACGGAGGAGCAAGGGGATGGTGGAGAAACAGGAGCACCTGAGTATGATGACAAAGTGGAGGGGCGAGTATGTAAAAGAATCTAGGATAATGATGATGGTAAAGCTTTGGGGAGAAAGTTAAAGATGCCACGTGAAATGTTGAAGATGTCGGAGGGGCAGAGGAGGGGCCCCCTGTATGGAGCGATGTAGTCCCTCTGGAGCCTCCTCACACGTGGATGTTCTGTAGCACCTTCTCCTCCTGCTTGTCGGCCTCTGTGGCTGTTTCTGTATATTTGCTACCTGTTTTATCATTTCTGGAAACATATGCATTAAAGGGGTTCGTAGATAAATACTTGATAACAGTTTTGCTTAAAAATAAAATAATCTGTCTCATTCCTCATGTCAGTGTTAAGTTTTACTCAGACTTAACCAAGGCCACAATCTCTCCCTAATAGTAACCACATGCTGTGAGTACATTGTTGTATCTATTATAAATAACATAGATTTTGTCAGTCAGGGGTGGGGAATCTTATTTTAATCAAGGGCCATTAAAGTTTTTATAACATCACTTTTTTCCTTGTATGATTATAAATTTGAAATATTTGTGTTTTGTGCTGTTAATCAGACAAAAGAAACAATATGGAAATGCCACCTGATGTTTTGGGAAACTGTTATTATTACTTACCATTTCATCATCTCACATTGAAATTGTTTCTGTCTTATTTTACCTGTTGGTGTTTATTATTTAACCTGCGACACGCGAGACAAACCTGGATAAAGAATTCATTGACGTTTTAAGGACATGGAGATGTGACAGAGGGACAAAAACACAAAGAGATACACAAACATCAAAGACATACACATATAACATTGAGGGTAGATATGAAAGTGGCGAAATTTGGGGAAATTGGTTTATTGTTCGGGTTCAGTGGGTTTTCTTTTTTATCCCAAAGCAAATATTAATATATAAATTTTCATTTTAACATACTTTATTAATGTAGAATATGTATATAGAAAATGATGCCATTTGGTTGTTTTTCCTGTAAAAATCCCCCTTAACTACAACATGTATTTTTCGGTCATCTGCTGTTCATCTGCACTCCATCTCACTGCTCTCTATCAATTTATTTCCTGGTCTGATTCAGCCCTCCTGATGATTGTAGTGGGCATTGCCGATTGGTTGATCTGGTCCAATAATTTTGAAGATAACATACTATTAAAGGCATCAATGTTGGAGTCTCCCCATATATACATTTACGAATGGAAATCGGGGACTTGTATAACGAATAAACAGCAATTGAACGAACGAGATGAAACCTGTAATAGCCTATGAAAGCCAGATGAGCTGGAAGCATCACAAACCGTATGTTGTGTCCTTTTAGAGCCACACATGGCTGCCTACAGCGTAAATAAGACTTTTTGTTCCTGTGCCAGGTGGAAAACAGGAAAGAACGACAAACTTGCAGAATTGTGGCAACAGTGTGAGTGCTTGTTTGATTTGTCCTGTTGTTTGTACAAAACATTACACAAGCGAGCACAACAAGCTGATGATGCGGCATCATCAGCTTGTAATGTTGTAATGTTTTTTTTTATTCTGAAATTACATTTGATCATATGAGTTTCTGTGAGTGCCTAAGTCTCTCTCTCTTCAAATGGCAAGTGTGTGGTCCTGCATCTCGACTGGATCATATATAGTATGTGGGTTGAGATTCAAATTTTGTTCCATCAGTCCTCGTGTTTTTAAAAATCTGCAGCAGACAAATAGACAGAAAGACACAGAGACACAGACAGACAGACAGACAGGGATGAGGGAGTGGGACGAAAGTGAGGCAGGGAGGTAGGAAAGCAGTGCATGGGTAAGAACTGCCACTGGATCAGAATATATAGGAGCAATTACAGTTGCTCCAGCTGGAGCCAATGGTTCTGAATGAAGCTCATTAGCATATGAATCATTAGCATGGCGCTGGAGGCAAGAAGCCATGATGCACAGAGCCATGTTTACAGAGTGCATGAAGGTCTCTGATCATGTTTACCGTCACGGCCAAACATACTGACTCTCTGCAGCTCCAGTTCCAGAGAGCACCAAAAAGCAAAACATCATTCAGCAGTAACAACGACACGGAGCAGGAACTCAGTGTGTACAGTAAAGTCAAGGTCACAGTGTGATCAAATGAAGACTGACCGCACAGTGGATGATTGTTATTCAGAAGCATGTAGATAGAACATGGCTGCTCAGATTTCTACCCTTTGTTTGTTCAAACCTGTTTTAAATCCCCTTTTTTCAAATATTATCATAAATATTATTTTATATTTGTTGAGTTCTGTTCATGTTAAGTTTTTGAAATCATTTAATGTTTGAGAGTTTAGATTGTTGTGTTTATTGAATATTAGGTTTGGAAGAAAAACTTGCTAAACAGCTCAAACAATGTATCAGCACTAATATTAAAAAATAATTCAAACTGTACTCAGCCATCGTCAGTCCCAAACAAAAGAAATTAGAAAAAACAATTATGATTATTTATTATTAGTTATTAGGTAAATACATTTTTATAAGTAATCATGTCAAGCATTTTAATGTACTAAAATGAAAAAAAACGGGAAAAAACAAGACATTTAACTCAAATCTTTAATTTCAACCTGATTGATATATAGCAACTTAACAGTAAGTGATTTATTCATTGTATGCTAATTTTGGATTTGTCAACAACAATTAACATTTCATGGGCAGTACCAATATCACTCCTGATAAAAACTGCACGATCCTGTGCATCTATACTGGTTTAAGTGTTTGGCAGCTTGTCTCAGAGCAACTGTGTTGAAATGTTGAAAAGTGTTGGTTGTCTGCTCAGTTGAGCTGACTGTGGGGAGTGTGTGAAAAATAAGCACAGGAACTTACCAGTTTACGTTGACACCAGGTGCACACGCCACAGAGAGCAACCAGCCAAACGGCACATACGACAAACGCAACAGACACCAGGAAAACACTGAGAGACACTGAGCCTGAGGGAGAGAGACAGACAGAGAGACAGAGACACACAGAGAGGAGGGTATTAGTGCAGTTAACAGTTACCCTCATGAGATTTGAACTCTAGTTCACTGTTGCAACTCCAAGTTTAAGGCAAATACAAAGGTTTCTTCAGTAACAATGGCTTATAATGAGCTACTTTCTTTCTCTCCTTCCTCCCTCCATTCATCTGTGTCATCTGGCATCTGTCACCAGTAAGAGAAAACGAAACTGAGTGAAGGGAAAAAGACAAAGCAGCAGAAATGTCTTCATACACCCTCATGTTCCCTGCATGTTTCAATAGGGGATGTGCACATGTCAGGAAGAGATAATATCATGGGGCCAGAAGCCGTGCAATTACCAGCATCCGTTTTCTTTCTCCTATCTCGTAAATCCTTCAGCAACTTTGTTCTTGTGTTGACAGATGAGAATTTCTTCCAGAGTTGACTATTCCTCATCTCTCTGTCTTTCAATGACTGCCTGGCCATTGTGCTGCTCATTCAGTTGTCAGCCACCTTGTCTGCCAAGAAATTCAAAACGCAGCGGCATGCTGGGAAAACAACACCGACAAACAACGAACTCATAACTTCCACATCCCTCTCCTCACAGACACATCTTTCTGTACCTGAACCTGTGGACCTTCAACATTTATAGATCTGTTAGAGCCGATAAATAAAAAAAGTTGATTGGTTTAATTAACTTAATCGTCCTTATCCACCCTCTTCCCTCATGTTTTGAATCTCCTAAATCTTCCTCAGATGTTATTTGCACCTTTTAAATCAAGTTTTACAGACACACTTAATCTGTCACCACTGTCTTTCTACATGTCTTCTGGAAGTTATTCCCATTACTCCTCAAACAAACATTTCTAGCATAACAGCAGAATTATTATCCCATATAATTGTGGTGGATTCAAACAGACCTGACTTAGAGTCTCCATGTTTTGCCACCTACTCCGACAACTTTACACTGAAACCAGGGGCGGATCCAGGGATGGGGCCAGGGGGGAACTGGCCCCAGCTCAAATCTGGTTGCCCCTGTACTGTCAGTAGTCTTAAAAAAAAGGTAGTCACTTACTTACAATACTAATAATAAATATAATAATTTGTTAGGAATTTTTATTGTCTAGGCTTTTTTTGAAGTACATGAGGAACAATCTTCAAAATATATACAGTAATGTGTAGCTTTGCTCAAAGCGACTGAGCTAACAGGAAATAAGCAATGATGTAAATGTGCACCTTCCTGAATCAGGAGTTGTGCATGGATGTTGGAAATATAATTGCCCGACTCTATGTAAAGTGTGTCTCCTGATTTAAGAACAATCCACCACTGACTGAAATAGAAAAATAAATCAGTGCTAACAGTTAAAAATAATGATTATAGTACAAGACATTCAGTGACTACTAGGAGGAAGGACAGAGGGTGAATATTAACGTTTTTTCATAATAAATAAACAATGGAATTAATAATAACTGCAAGACTGACTGACACAACCTAACATGAAGTCTACCCTTTCCTTTCCCCAGAGTCTCAATCATCAAGCAGTCGGTTTCTTTTTACCAGACAGCCCTATCAAAATATAGTGCAAGTTTAATGAGGTATCTGATTTTAGATAGTCAAATATCAGGTATATGTCAGAATATGTATGCAGTAAAGCTTTCAGCATTAAATTCTTCCCTCGTCTTCTTGCTCTGAGCTGTGCGGTCTGGGTGTTTTGTGGTAGCATCACTTTCAGATGTGTTTAAGTGGTTAACAGATAAGTGGTCTGAGTCTCATTAGTGTTTCCGTGTGCATTTAGAGCAACGTGTACAGAAAAACAGAAAGCCGGCTCTGTTGAAGCAGCTGAAGAAGCTATAATGGTTTCCAGACGGAGGAAACACAGGCAGCTGGAAGGAAGAGTGACTTCTTTCAGACCTTTGAGAGCTGCTCCACCTCCGTCTGTGGACACACACGTCTGACAGTCTTTCACTATTTCACTCACTAATCCACTACAAATGCAAAAGTATTCCACAAGCCAACACATAAAATATTCAGCCCAGTGCAGATAACCTGTTACACCCACATTTAACGAGGTAAATCCTGACAGATAATGATAAACATGCAAGAAAAGCTTGTGATCTGGTTCCTCAACATTCTATGTATTTACCTTTTTATGTAGTTTTCATGGTTGCTGGTGGATTCAACCTTTCCCTGGATAAAAACTAGTATGTGCATGTATTTCAACAGGTGTGCAACAATATCACTGTCATCTTTATTGTCAAAACAACATATGAGGAATCATGTCAGTGCACCGTTTGTTTTGGTTTTGTTCTGTGTTTGCTCTTCTGTTGAATATCTGACGGATTATCTGCGTAATTTGAAAGGGAAATCTGGGACCTGCATCATTAACACCACCAGAAACAACACGTGTTGCAAACCAACTAATGGTAATTACTGATAAAGAGAATAAACTGGCTATTCTTGTTTGTCAGTCAAGCCAGTTTAATTTTTCTGAACAATTAAGAAAACTAATTTTAGGAGGTAGTGGGAGCTTATCTTCAAGTTTCTTTTGTTACTGTGGGTAGCTAAATCTTAAACCTGTTTTTAACATGTAATCTGTATCTGCACATCTTACCTGGATAAGGAAAGCACATGGTCATTTAAGGTTTATATACACATGCAGTTGGAATGGCCTGGCTCATACTGATATCAGATTTCAGCTGTGCAGTTTGGCACAAACATCTGCCCCAATGAGTTAAAAGATTTTGAATAATGTAAAAGAGTTAAAGATTTATGTCCAGCTGCCTCGCACAGACAGACAACCTCGCCCACATTTAAGGAGAAATAAGCAGAACACACTGAAAACATGGGACCTGGGACTCATCGGTTTGTTCCTCAGCTCCACCTGCCTCATTTGCATATTGAGATGTAATCACAGTGTGGAACAGAAATAATGAGAATTAATATCAGGTGTAAAGATGTTATTATCCAGATAATATATCCAGCTACAGATTGCATCGCAATCCGGGTGGAACTGGCATCCTGTAGTTAACAATATTATCACCGTTCACCAGTTTTCTTTCCCCACTCAGCTGCTGACTTCACATCACTGTGAGAGGAGTTCAGTTCAGCACCATGGAGAGCACCCATCCCCGCTGGCCAGACTCTGCCACATTAAAGTGACGTCTGTAGCGTCACCAGGTTGGAGCTCAGCAGCAAGTCGCTGTCCAGTTTCAGTGCCTCATCATTCTTTCAGTGTATGATTACAGGACAGGACATTGCTTTGTGGTTCAGCTCTCATTTTGAAATGATGGTGGGATCCAGCACTCGTATTATCTCAGCTACTGGGCTTGTTTGATCCCAATTTGCTCACTTGAGGAGAATATCTTTGCCAGATGAAGCAGAAGATGAGTTCATACACTTTAAAATCCACCACCAACTGGGCAAGAACTTCCAGACTGTTTGAGGCTCTGGAGCCGCAAGTGAGCGCTCGTCAACATCAGGCAGACTCCACAGTCGTACTGTGCAACATATTGGTTGAAGTAGGAGGGATTTTGAACTCAATATGACTAAGTTACATAGTCGATAGTCTGTAAAGTGGGGGATTCACAACTCGGAGCATGACGGAAACTCTGCATGCTAATGATGGTGTGATATGATTAAAAGCTGTAAAAAGCTTTTAAGAGAACCTTGTGTTGTGATTGTTTGTCAAACTACTACTTCTAAGGTCAAGAATGAGCTTTAGCTGAAAACAAAATCACATCAAAATGAAGCTCATTTGTATTGATAATAAAAAAAAAAGTGCGTATTTCATGACTTTTCCTCAGTAATCTGTCCAAACACTGAACATCAGCTCTGACCTCGATTGTGCCGCTCGCTACGCTGGAAAAACACAATCATGGCGTGTTGATCTGCCGTCTTTGATCAGTGCATGCAATGCTGGTGTAATGTTGTAGCGTCAGGTCCTTGAAGGTTTAATGAAGGTGGATTAGCTCCAGATGCAGCACCTACTGTGCAGTGTTTGGAATCACACTGGGTGCCTCCCATGGCTCAAAGTATAAACAAGAGACAGTTGCAGTATGGCTGCTGTCACTCATACGCTCCCTCCGTCTTTCTTTCCATGTACTTTGGAGTGACTGCATTGATATAAACTCATCATCCGTTATTATTGTTATCATTTATTCATTATTATTGGTCATTACACATAAAACAAAGATTATTACAGGCAGGTGAGTGTAGCTTCATTCTTAATATTCCCTTATTTATTGTTATTCTTGTCAGCCTTCTTCCTTTACCTGCAGGGTTCCTGTCAACACAACGTTATTCAGACTCATGTGGTAATTACACAAGTTATGCTCATCTGAAAATAGACCTCACCTGTCTGTATATAATATATATACATATATAAGAAATCAAACTTAAGTGAACATATATAAGTATCAGGATAAATAAATAAACTGTACTTTCTTGTGCGATCCACTAACATGGGGGAGGCAGGGTTTATGGTGCAGCTAACCATCGAGGGGTGATACAGATGGTTTGGCTTTATTTTTGGGAGCTGTCATGTTGTCCATCTTTATCATTCACTGGTCTCAGCTTGTGAACTTGAAACTTTCAGAAGATTCTGATGTTCGTGGTTATGAAAACCACAAAAGAGGGAGCGTTCATGTGGAATCTTCTCATAGACACGGTAAAACATGACCCTGTTTGAAGGAAGCATCTAATAAACTAAAGATCCTGATATTTGTTGACGACAGATGTAAGCGTGAATGGATGCATGGCCAAAATTATAGGACCAAGTTGTAATAAACTGTATTCATCCTTAAGGTGAAGCTCAAACAGTTCTGATGACCCCTCCTCACTGTCCTTTCTAATTAAACCCAAGCTTCTTTTCTCTTGTGGGCACCAGTATCTCTGTCTGTCACATGTGGCCCTCACTCTCTTTGCGTCTCCACTCTTCCACCTACTGTGCTCATCTGTTTGTGCTCCGCTCACTCAGCCCCTGGTGTTGGCGCCC